AAAGAAAATCCCTTTATTCTCTCATTCTATATTAGCCTTTTTGAAAGATACAAGCAGATAACAAAAAAGCCCAATTCATTAAAATGAACTGAGGTTTGCTGACTGATATTAAGCTCACTTGATACTTCGTTCATTCATGAGAAAAATATTATTTGATTTTTTTCTACATATATCAGTTACTTGGTAAATAATACAAATAAGATGGCCAATGGTTACATATAATGGCAATGTCCAAATAACTAGATTAGCTAGTTAACTAGTGTTAAGACTTTGATCCAAGTGGCCTGTTTTGTGATTGGAAGAATTTCTGTTTGATCAAAGTTCTTCTTCACCCTTTAAATTAGTGAAGATTTTGTCTTAGATCTCTGCTCCATTTTTTATACCATTCAAAATATCAGCTACCATGGGAAAGAGGTAAGAAATGCAGTTATTGGAACATAACCTTTGATTATATATCTCTGATCTAGCTACAGTACAGAATTTCCTCTCCCCTTTATTTATACCAATGTTTATTACCTATTGAAAATGTATATCCCTTCATTCATATATATTGTGCTGCATGCCACACGTTTCAATAATTTTGCACTTTACAAAAATTGATGCTCAGTTTAAACAAGGACAGAAAATCTTTTCACTGGAGCAAAATATAGCCCACTCGAGGTAACCTCTTACAATATGTGACAAGTGGGACTCACTTAATTCCCCTCAATTAGAATGAAATGGCATTGGGAAGAAAAGAGAATAAATGAAAGATGACCTTAAATCATTTTGGTGCCAGGAACAAAAGCAGCAACTATTAAATCACATTCACTGATGGCTATCCAAGTGTCAAGCTAGCAGATAGAGATTCAGATCACAAATAAAACTGAATGACAAATGTCCTAATATGAGGGAAGGAAATTGTGAACATTGGATGCACTAGGTACAAAGAAATCTTGCTCTTCACCAAAGGAACTTCCCATGAAATTATATAATTTCACAATTAACTTTCAATCTATCTTCTAGGTTCTAGAAAAGGAATATGGATTTAAGCAGAGGGAACTGTACTTTGCCAGACTTTCAGGATGAGACCTGTTAGATTGCGGGAAAAGAGACTCGAGACCAGTGTGACTTTCAGCTCTTTATTTAATTCTTAAAATCTGTCTCAACCGTGGGGCCGTGGCAGCCTCTTTTATTGATGGCTGCTCACGGCTAGCGGCCAATGACGGCTCCTTGAATCTCCTGCCGTCTAGACGGACCAATCGTAAGGTGGTAAATACGGTCCAATCAGAATAGGGAAAACGGGCCAATCAGTAAGCTGAATCAGTGGACCAATCAGATTACAGGATTACAAGTATGTTATTATAGAACACCCCTCCCCTCTTGGTTTAGTCCATTCTACCTTAAGTAGTCACATAAGTAGGCGGGGCTTTTAGGGTGTCTACTTGACCTGCACAGTTTAGTTGTGTTGTTGTCTTTGGCTGGTTCAGACGGGATCTTTGTTGCTCCTGTCCTTCTCCGTGGAACCTCCTGGAAGGTGAGTCAGCCATGCCGCTCCTGCCTGGTCTACCCAGGCTGGTTGAGTGGGCCATGCCGCTCCTGCCTGGCCTGTCTGGGCTGGTAGAGTCGGCTCGGCTGTTCCCCTCCGGAGTGGCTTTCGTGCTGGTTTTCCGCTGCCTGCTCCTTCCTACCGAAGTCATCTTCAGGTAAGTAGTTGTGGTTTCTTACTGGGTTTTGGGGTGATGTTGGTTGGCGGTTTATTGTTGGAGTTTGTTGTGTTGTTCTTTGTGTTAGTGGAGGGTCTCCCACTCACCTTTTATTTGTGTTTGAGGGGTCTCCCCCCTCTCTGCTTTGGCTATTATTGTTCTTATTTAATGTTTGGCGAGGTTCTGGCATGTGTGTGCATTCTTCTTCTTCGACCCTGGTTTTATTTGTGTTTCTTTCTAGTGTTCATGATCTTAGTTGATCAATGTGTCTCCTCCAGCTTCTTCTGTCCTCTGTTTCTAATCTATATGATCGGGGGCCTGTTACCTGTGTTATTTTGGTGGGTATCCACAGTGGGGCTCCCGTGCATAGACTAGGTCCCCTGTTCCGAATTTGCGGTGTTTGCTGGAGGAGTCTGTGGGTTTTTCAGGGCTGTATGTGGGGTATAGTTTATCTAAGTGTGATCTTAATTTCCTGCCCATTAACAGTTTGGCAGGGCTTTTATTTGTGGTGGTGTTGGGTGTGATATGTTGTATGGCTAGCATTTTGCAGATTTTTTCTTGGATGTCCCCCGTGTCTAGTTTCTCTAGAGTCTCTTTTGTGTATTGAACCATGCGTTCATAGCTGGCTGACCCGGCGCTGTTAGGGCATGCCTTATGCCCAGTTCGGCGAGAATTTTTTCGAATGTTAATGCCGTGAATTGCGGCCCGTTGTCTGAAACCAGTAAGTCCGGCAACCCGTGTGTTGCGAACAGCTTCCTCAGCTGTCTGATGATGGCTTCTGTGGTGGTGGAGTTCATGGTGCTTACTTCCAACCAATTTGAGTAACTGTTATTAAAAATGTGTGTCCCTTGGTCAGCCCTGCGAAATCGATGTGGATTCTCGACCAGGGTCCCCTTGGTGTTTCCCAGTCAAGCATCGGTGCGGCAGGGGTGTGGGCCTGGATTTTTGGCATTGGTTGCATGTTCCCACCCATGTTTCTATATCCTTGTCCACCCCTGGCCACCATACGTAACTCCCGGTCAGGGATTTCATCCTTACTATACTCGGGTGTCCGTCATGCAACATGTCCAGCACTGTTTCCTGTAATTTTCCAGGTATGATAACCCGATCCCCCCATAGTACACACCCCTTCAAAATCGAGAGCTCAGTTTGCCGGTTATGGAATGGTTTAAACGTCTCGCTGTTATCGGTTTCCGGCCATCCTTTACCTACCCAGTTTAAAATCCACACCAGCTGTCTGTCTCTTGAGGTTTTCTTCACAATGTCCGACGCGGTTATGGGTAGGTTGGGTAGAGTCTCAATTTGTAGTGTGGATGTGATTGGTGCCGGGTTGTCTTCCAGTTCCAGTAGGGAGGAACGGCTCAGGGTGTCAGCGTGTGGTATGCTCTTCCCTGGCCAGTGGATTAATTGGTAATTATAAGTGGCAAGAAACTCGGACCACCTTGTCACCCGTGGTGACAATATGTTTGGGGTGGCCTTGTTCCCTGCAAGTATCCCCAAGAGTGATTTGTGGTCTGTAATGAGCGTGAAAGTCCTACCATAGAGATATTCATGGAATCGTTTTATTCCGGTGATCGCTGCTAACGCCTCCCTGTCCAATTTGCTGTAGTTCCTTTCTGCCTTGGACAGTGTCTTAGAGTAGAAGGTGATCGGTGCTTCTCTCCCATCTGGTAGTGTGTGTCTGAGTATGGCCCTGATGCCGAATGGTGATGCATTGCAGGTCATGGTCAGTGGTAGGGTTTTGCTGTATTGGATGAGTACCGATTCGGATGTCAGCAAATCTTTTATTCCTTGGAACGTGGCTTCTTCCCATCGACCCCAGGTCCAGGTAGCTGTCTTATCTAGTAGTCTATGCAGTGGTTCCGCCGTTGTTGCCTTCTGTGGCAGAATGACATTATAAAAGTTTATGAATCCCAGAAATGCCTGTAGGTCTGTTTTGTTTTGTGGTCTGGAGGATTCTTTAATAGCTTTTCTTTTCTTTTTGGTTGGGTGGATTCCCTCTTTCTCAATTAGGTACCCCAGGAATTCAACTTTCTCGGTGGCTAGCTGGATTTTTTCTTTTTTTACTTTGAGTCCCACCTCCTGAAATCTTTGTAGGACTTCCCTGAGGCGGCTTTCCAATTGGTTCTTATCTTTAGCGGATACCAGCACATCATCGAAATAAGGCACCACCCCTTTAATTCCCTATAATAGGCACTCCATCAAGCTTTGGAACACCCCTGGGGCCACAATGACTCCGAATTGCAACCTTTTGCATTTAAATGACCCCCTGTGAGTCACAGTGGTTTGTGCCTCCGCTGTTTCGGAGTCGACGGGCAATTGCTGATATGCCTGAGCCAGATCGAGCTTTGCAAAGACTTATCCTCCCCACAACGAATGTAACAGATGTTGCACCGCTGGAACAGGGTATGCGCTTTGTTGCAGCGCGTGGTTGAGGGTGGCCTTATAGTCTCCACAGATGCACATGGACCCATCTGTCTTAATCGGAGTCACAATTGGAGTTTCCCACCGTGCATGGTCTATCTGTTCCAATACCCCTTGTGCGATGAGCTTATCCAATTGCTCATCGATCTTCAGTTTGAGTGTGAAGGGAACTCGCCTTGCCTTTAACTGGATTGGGGCTATGTTTGGGTTCAAATTAAATGAAATAGGGGACCCTCGGTACTTGCCTAGCTTCCCGTCAAACACGTCTTGGAAGTCCCTCATCAGGCTGTCTTTATGCCAGTCACTCCGATCCCCAGAGGAGCGAACCATTCTAGCCCCAGCAGGCGTGGGTGATCTCTGTCCACTATTGTCAATGGAAGGATTTCTGAGTGTTGTTTGAATGTTATTTGAAAATGTCCGACTCTGACTACGGGGATCCGGTTCCTCTGCTAGTCCTTCAAAGTCAGTCTTTGGCTCTCTAGTTCTCTTCTCCGTATGCTGGGTATTAGGCGCTTCATACCATAGACAGGCATGATCCAGAGTCTACCTCCATGTTGCACTGTTGGCCTTCGATGTCGACCTGCACATGTACCTTTCGGGCATCGGTCGCGCTCGAATGCCCAATGGTTATTGTTTGGTGGGTTTCTTCCTTCTGGTAGGGTTTGCTGAGCCACTTACTTCTGCTTTCGCGGCTCCAATGGCTCCCTGTCTGTCTGTCTCTGGTCCTGGGGGGGGTGCTGTCTCATCACCTAGGGCTGTAGCTCTTTTTATTACGGGAGACCCTAGCGATGTGTCCCCATTTCTCGCAGTGCCGGCAAACAGTGTCTAGGAAATGGCACTCAGAACGGGGGTGGTCTCCTCTGCACCCGGCGCATTGGAACCCCGACTTACGTTTTCTCCTCTCCCGGCTATACTGTTTCAACTGGAGTCTGTGTATTTCTTCCTCCTTCTCGTCAGTCTTGGATAAGGACTCGACATCCACATGGTGCATGGTAGTGGTGGTGGCCTTGTGGTTTCCCTCTGGCTTCTTCTCCTGGAGTTGGCTTGTTTTTGTCGGTGTTTGCGGGGCCACCACATTCATTTGCCGCATGGTGGCTGCTGACTTTTTCACGGCTTCGGCTGTGGTGGCCTCAGTGATGGCTTCGGTGACCATGATGTCTGATCAGGTCAACAGTCAGCTCTGCAAAGTGAGGTCTCTCAGTCTGAGAACCACGTTGTCTCTCATGGCTTCGTCCATGTTAGAAAAACCACATGCACGTCCGATGTTCCTTAGAGCCACTATGAAGTCCCCAACGCTCTCACCCTCTTTCTGGTCTCGTTTATAAAATTCATGTCTCCGGATAAGATTGGAAACGGCTGGTGCATAATGGGCTCTCAATAGCGGGTTCAGATCTGGCCACGCCATCTGCTTAACGTCCTGAGGTTTGGCCAATGTGTCAGGAATACGGCTCTCTTCCTCTGATCGGTTATCTCCTGTAGGTTGTTGCTTTCGAGGAACATGAGGAATCGGTCGATGTACGATTCCCAGTCCTCTGCAGTTGGGTTGAATGGTGCAGGTGGCGAGTTGCTGCTGGCCATCTCGTTGGTTGGTCAGTCCTTGTTGCCATGTGCTTGACTGGTTTCCTTGTCTCAGGATCCCACCTTCGTTGCCAGTGTTAGATCACGGGAAAAGAGACTCGAGACCAGTGTGACTTTCAGCTCTTTATTTAGTTCTTAAAATCTGTCTCAACCGCGGAGCCGTGGCAGCCACTTTTATTGACGGCTGCTCGCAGCTAGCAGGCAATGACGGCTCCTTGAATCTCTCGCTGTCTAGACAGACCAATCGTAAGGTGGTAAATATGGTCCAATCAGAATAGGGTAAATGAGCCAATCAGTAAGGTGAATCAGTGGACCAATCAGATTACAGGATTAAAAGTATGTTAATATAGAACAAGACCTATTGTATATAGCTGGTCATCTTTGCTGACAGCTGGTTTTCCTTCCTGATCTGGAATAAATAGACAAACACAACTAAAACACAGGGTTTTGTTCCAGGCTGGCTCTTTCTCACTGTTACTTGTTCCATGTAGAAAAACTGTTGCATTGGCAACTAAAACTTTTTTCAATATTGGGAAAAGAAAAGGGAACACTGGGTAGAGTTTAGATCCCACAACAGTTTCTTTTTTTTTAAACAAATTTATTAATTTTCAAAGACAATACACAAACAAACAAAACATAAAACGTAAGAACATAAAACATATTTTCTAAAAACTCCTTATTAAGTTTTAACAAAACTATAAAACAACTTGTTTAAGTACAGCATAGTTCCAAATTATCACATTTCCATACAATCACAATTTAATATGCATCTTATGTATTCAACTTCATATCTTATTACTCTTTTTCCAACTTCTCACTATTTTTCCCTTTACTTCTATTCAATTTTATTCATTAAACTTATACTTTCTTTTTTTTTTTAAATAAACTTTATTAGTTTTACTTTTTAAAAAACAACAACAACACAGCTACAAAGTATATACAACAAAAAGACGAACAGATCTTGGCATGGGCCAAGAGAGAAAGAGAGGAAAGCTTGAGAGAGGAAAGAGGGAAAAGGAAGGGAAGGGTGGGGGGGGGGAAAGTGGCAGGACAGGGACATCCAGAGGTGGAGAAGCCCAGCTGGGGCTTTCGAACACCTCTTCTCGCCTTTGGAGGGATCCCCAGTGGATACACGAAACCCGTAGAGCTTCGTGTCAGAATAGAGGACCCCCGGGTTGCTGTTTGGGGGTAGGCAACTCCCCAGCCTCTGAGACCAGCGCGATTGAGCCAGCTGCCAGCTAATGGCGGTTCCAAAGTCCGGTCTGCCACTGAACTGATGAAGCAAAAGTGACTGCCTGAAGGGTCTGAGTGGAAAAGGGCAGAAGGACTACAAAGCCATGAGAGAGATCGGTCTGATTCTCCCTGTTTCATTGTGAGTAACAGTGGGGGAAGCTGGAGACAAGCAGCCAGAAAAGCAGTTTGAAAAGTGAAAGGGGGATAGAGTGGCTCAACACTTAGCGTGAAAGTGTGGATTGGAGCGTTGCTGAGGAGAGAAAAAGGCGGTGGGAATTCAAGAAGCTCAGGAGTGGATTGCCATCTCGGATCAGCGCGTGAGAAGGCTAGAAGACTAGGAGAGGATTTTAGCTGCGAAGGAGGGCAGAGCGAGAGGTAGAGAGCCAGAAAACGACGTACTGACTTTTATATGCAAGATCCTTTCCTTTTAGCATTACTGCCTACAAAACTGATTTTTAAAGTGATCGATCTGAGGCAGATGCCCAAAGTGACTGTGGATTGACAATTGCTGGCAGGAGGGAAGAAGAAGAAGGAAGAGACAGACGGAAGCCTGGCCAAGACTGATCGCTGATTGCTGACAGCAATTAGTCAGCACTTCCTCCCCCTGCTTCCTTGGTGCGCCCAGGAGGAGAGACGATAAGACTAAAACGCCAACCCCAACTCAGACTTGTTTTTCTATGGAACTAATCCTATAGATACGTGCTTTGTGATTCCCTAAAATTGAAAAGACCCCTTTCTTCCTGCATTCTTTCTCTCTCTCCCTTTCTCTTTGTTCTTTCCTTTTTTTCTATAATAGTTAAGTATAAAGGCAAACTGCTTGTTACAGTTATTAAGGTTTACAGATTAGACTCTCTTGGATATATAAAAATTTTAAGGACTGTTAATAGGGTTGTCTCAGATAAAATGGAATCTTAAATATTAATATACACTATAGGACAAAAGTATATATAGAGTGAGATATTCTAGAGTTGGTTGTATGCTTTAAACAAGTATGATTTATTAGGGGTAAAATACAATTAACTCCGGTACTTGAATTTAATATAGAGAATAATACATAATACATCGAATGGTGATTTGGGATAATATTCTTAACATAGTCCAATTGCAAAAACAAATCTTATCAGAGATGACTTCCACAACAACTACGGCCCTGAAAACAGGAAGGAAACAACCAGACCTTGATGACAACTCTGGCAACGGCCTCCCCAACAACGCAGAAAACTATAGAAGAGACCTTGGTAGGAGAAAAACAACCGACTGTTACTAATGCCAACCTACAAGCGACATTATTATCCCTGCAAGAATCAATGCAAGAATCAATGTCTAGAATGCAGGAGATTATGATTAGGAATCATAATGAGACCAGAGCAGATATTAGCGAACTGAAAGAAGAAATGAGTAAATTAAAAGAGGAGATGAGAGTAGATATACAGAGAGTTGAAGATAGGGTTGGGACAATGCAATTGGCCATGGAAAGAACTGAATTAAAAATAAAAGAAATAGAGAAGAGGACGGAACAAGCAGAGAGAAACCTAGAAAGGACTGAGGAAGATTTTAAAAATGTAAATAGAGAAATGGAAGATTCCTTGGTCCAACTTGAGATGGACAGAGCAGCTGCATACTTAAGGTTCCAAAACGTGGAGGAATCCAAAAATGAAGAATTAGAACAATTAATGGCAGGTTTGTTGGCTGAACTAGTTGAAAAAGAGAAAGATGACTTACTCAAGGAATTTGATGAAATTTATAGGGTGAACACCAGTTATGCAAGGCGTCACAATTGCCCAAGGGAGATCCATATCCGCTTTTCAAGAAGATGCATGAGAGACCTAATACATAGAAAGGCCAGAGATGAGAGAATATTATATAAGGGCAAAGAGATCATAATTCTCAAGCAGATTCCAAGAAAAGTGAGGGCCATAAGGCAAGAATATAAATTTTTAGCCAATTACTTAAATAAAAATGAAATCTCATTTAAATGGCTAATCCCAGAAGGGATGCTAATATCGTGGAAGGGAAGAAAAATTAAAATAGATTCAATAGAACAAGCACAAAACTTCCTAGAACAGCTAACAACCACGGAGGATCAACTCACTAGGGAGAAAATCCAAAGGAATATGCAGGAAGATCGTAACCGCCACAGGAACAAAGAAGAAAGACCTGTCCAAATTCAAGGGAAAGACAACTTACAACGAGAAAGAGAAGAAACAACTCCATATCAATCACAAGAAGAGAGCCGTAGAGTTACGAGACAAAAAGCGAGGCAGACTTAAGTAAATGGACGAAGGAAGGAAAATTCTTTCCATTAATATAAACGGCTTAAATTCAAGAGCTAAAAGGAAAAGGATTCTAACCAAACTAATAAAACAAAATGTTGATATAATTTGCATACAAGAAACACACATTAGGAAAAGTGAGGAGAAATTCCTAGATTGTCCGAAACTGGGAAAATTATTTACAGCACCAGCTGATAAACACAAAAAGAAAGGTATTGCAATCTATGTGAGAGATGACTTAAAAGCGGAGTTAATCTGGGCGGACCCTGAAGGAAGAACTCTGGTGGTACAAATCTCGATTAATGGCATTACACTCTTACTGGTAGTAATCTATGCCCCAAATGATGATCAAGGTAAATTTTTTAAACATCTCCATCAAAAAATAACAGAATTTGAAAATGGTAATATTATTCTAATTGGCGATTTTAACTCTATTGCTGACTATCGGAAGGATCATAGTAATAGGAGTAAGAACAAAAAAGGAAATAGAGAATTCTCTAAGCCATGTAAGGATATGTTGAATGAAATGAATCTGGTAGATATCTGGAGAAAATTAAATCCCCAAAAAGAACAGTTTACTTATTATTCTAACCCACACAAAATTTGGACAAGAATAGATATGGCTTGGATAAACGGTGAATTATTTAATGAAATCAAAGATAGCGAAATCTTACCAAATGATTGGGCTGACCACAACCCAATTCAAATAACCTGGAGGGATAGAAGAAAACCAAAGAAAAGATGGACTTTTAACACTCATTTAATAAAAGAAGAAGAATATACTAATAAATTGAAAGAAGAACTGAACTTCTTCTTAAAGGAAAATAATAATGATCTAACTTCAAAACAAAATATATGGGACACATTAAAGGCATTTATAAGAGGAATAACAATCTCTTACAATGCTATGAGAAATAAAAGAAAGTATGCCCAACAAAGTAACTTACAACAAGAAATTAAGGATTTAGAAACCCAATTACAAAAGAACCCCAAAAACCAAAGAATACAGAACCAGTTAATAACAACTAAACACAAACTAAATTTACTGGAACAAGAAAAATTGGAGATT